TTTCTAGTCTAGGAAAGAATTGGCTGGTCTCAGCTCTGTGCTCATGCATCAGCTGACTGCTGGTAAGATGGATGAGATGACTCAACTCTCCACAGATCTCCTGTATCTGCCAGCAGGCCAGTCTTCACTTTTCTTATGGCTGTGGCAGCAGAGATCCAAAGGGAAGAAACAAAAATGTTTCTCTGTGTCCAGTTTGCTGTTTTCCCATTGGCCAAAGTAAATTATATGGTCAAGTTCAGAGTCAGTGCAGCAAGGCGACATCAGAAATTTTGGAACAGGAAGGCAAGAAAACATGGGACATTGATATAATCCATCTATATGATGGGCATGATGTAATGCTACAATTGCAGATATTTTTTTAAAACAGTGAATTACCAGTCAAAAGCAAGTTGAAGTAGAGAGGCCAATAGTGAGCTCCTAATAAGTATTTAATGAATGACTAAATGAAGCAAATTCAATGCAGAAGACACGTCCAATATATACATTCATATACTGCTAGTTAAGGTAGTAAAGAGCTCCAGCTTCCACAGATACATACGCTCTTAAGAACACCAGAACTTAATAAAAATACCAAGTTTTTTTCTTAAGGAAAAGCAAAATATAAATGTAAAAAGTTATGTGTGAATCTTGAGATCACTAAAACACATTGTTGAAAAGGGTTAACAGTGAGCATTCTGATATAATATTTGGTATAATATTTCTTCATTCACATTATGTGATATCAAAGTTCAGATAAGACTGATAGTCAAATTGTCCGCTCCCCCTTTTGTTTTTGGTATATTCTAATTTACTCAAAGCTTTGGGTCATAATGTAAATAATTATGTATCTAGTTTTAAATTTGCCTGCTTTGAAAGTTTTTTTCCAAATTTTTATCATGTTATGCTAGAGATTCAAAATATTCCAGGATGAATCAAATCAGGGACTGTCCCTCACTCTGCATTTCCAAGAAAGTCACTTCCAGAGAGGAGAAGAGTGGAAGAGCTTGTATCATTTATTGAGATAAGTACCTATTTATCATTTTAATGTAAAAGCAATGATGGTATTTTAAACCATTTCCTTGCTCCCTCTTCTGATATTTTTTTCATTATTCTAACCTATGGAGCAGAAAGCTTTACATGAAATATTATTAAAGAAGATGGTTCATAAATATTCATCCCAGAGGTATCATCTCAGCTTTATTATGACATTAAAGATGCAATTATTAAGCTGTGTGCTTGGGATTTTGTTAAACATCAAGCATCAAGGAAAGGTTAAAAAAGTGTAGACCTATGAGAGACTACCAGAGTGATGAAGAATGAGGAGTTACTTAGTGTTTGAAATGAGGCATCCCTAAGACATCCTAAACACGGTGGGTGTTCCCTCTCTGTTGTTAAGGATCATGCTTAATGTTGATGATTCTCAGCTGTTTGTGCCCAGTGTCCTTAGTGATAGTTAAGACTATTTTAAAAGGATAATAATGGAGTGAAGAAAAACTGTTTTCTTGGAATTGAGAAGACACATTACAAGAAGCTTATTTTAGACTTTCATTCAGGTTTTCCAAACTACTTCCTGCCTAAGAGGCTACACCATTACGAATTCTAAATTTTACCTCACAGAAAATAATTTAAGCAGTCCTTTGATGGTTATCAACTGGTTGTTCTTTGAAAAACAAATGGAAAAATCCCGAAGAGAGAATTTATCTAGAATGCTGGAAAAAATCTCATACTCAAATACTATACTTTGAAAAGTATAAATAGATGCATCATAGGTTATTTATAATAATAATATAATAATAGGTTATTTCTTGCTTGGGAGAATAAGAGACATTTATGGCTTTGTGGAGGTGGCTTGCTTATTTATTTATTATTTTCAGAGCTAGGGATAGAACCCAGGGCCTTGCACATGCTAGGCAAGTGCTCTAACCCCTGAGCTATATCCCCTGCCCTGGAAGTTACTTTTAAAGGATTGACAGAATATTATTATAGAATGTAGCTAGAAAAAAATGTGTGCTATGTGTTTATGAACAGAGAATAAGATAAATTCACATTAGCTTTGTGAATGGCAGGTTGGGGCTAGAAACTCAATACTGTTTTCAGTAATTCTAACATTATTCTTCAGGGAGTGGATAGGAATTCCATATTTACCATCAGAACAGTAATAAGATTAGAGTTGTCATTTGGGGAGATTAATCTGTGTGTAGAAGGGATTTGAAGGAAAAAGAAATTGAATAGGAAGCTTAAAATTATAAATGTTAAAGAATGAGAAAAGTTGTAAGGGAGAAGAAAGGGAAGTTTCCAAGACAGGAAGGGTAGAATTCATAGACTTTACCAACAGATTGGGTATGGGAGCAAATGAGATGGAGCAGAACAAGAGTGCCCCAAGGTTTAGCACTGGCTATGGACTATTAAAATAATTGAAGAGGACAGATGGGGAGAGGATCTGTATTTTTTTCTATTAATTTGTACAATGTGCACATGGGCTGTTTATTTAACTCTTGACAATCTGAGAGGAAGAAACAAAGCTTAGAGAAGATGATCAAGGCTAATCTTATAGATTTAAAAATTATGTGCAGATACTATAAATGGAGAGCTTGTTGGAAACAGCTAAGAGAAAATGTATAGAAAGATTTCTATCCATGATGAAAGACAGATTACCTTTTTGAATTGATTTGTGGGAAGCTCATTGCTAAATCTCAAGTACAGTTGCAGAACTCTTCCTTAAAGTCTTCTGGTAAAAAGACTCTGTTGCACATTTTCTTTAAAAATTTTTCCCTCTTAAAGGAAGAAGGGAAGAAAAAGGGAAATATTGGGGAACAATATGGCAAAATTATATTATTATGTTGTATTTATGTAGGAATATGTATTGAGTCCCACCATTATGTACAATTATAAAGAAACAATAATTGATGGGAAAAATAGTAGCATCCTCCCCATAAAGTTAGGGGTTTGAAGTGGTTATATATTTTTGAAATACTACATATTTTATAGATTCTCAGATGCAGATGTTTTATCATTTATGAAATGAAATATGTCTTAAAATCATTGGTGTGTCAATAGTTTAAATGACACTATGTTTTCGTTGCAAAGGCATATAAAATAATGGCACATGTTATAATCAGTGGTGCCTTAGATATTATGATGTATACTTCCTTCTGTGTTTCCCTAACTTGGCAAGCTGGCTTCTTTTCCATGAAGCCTTTTGTTCATCCAAAAGGAGAACAATCTAGGTTACCTAGAGAAGATTGAGAAGGAGAGTAGAATACCGTACAGGCATTTCAATTAATAAGGAATGAATATCTTTTGTGCTGAAATGAAGAACAAAGGGAGGAATTGGAAATCAAGCACCTTGGCTTCCAAATGGGAACAAAAGTCCTGGGTATGGGAGAAGCAAGACAAAATATATTCCCAGAAAGCTTTGGGTCTAGTATAAGCAGACTTTCTTCTTCAGGTAAATTTCTAGAAAGCATTGATACTCCTGGATTTTTAAGTCAGCATGGTATTGTAACAACGTGGCACTAGTAACTGACAAATGATCAAAGGAGGTGTCTTGATGGATAATGGATCTGATCTAGCGCCTCTAGTTCCCCACAGCCTAATAAGATCCAGGAGTTTTGCATTTCTAGAAGAATGCTAGAATAAATTGAGCCCATAATGAGGACTCAGCTTAGAAAGAACCTTGATCTTTAACTGCTTTAAAAGGCCCATTTTACAGGGCTATATTTGAGGGCAACTAGGACTGGTCCAATAATGGGGAGACCAAATACCCCTCCCAAACGCCAGGAGGACACTTGAACTTCCCTTTATAGCCAGATGCCATATGACAAGAGTTAGACCTCTTAAATGTGGAGGAATATCTAAAAAGGAGATTTGATACAAAGCAATTAAACATATCCCTGAAATAAAGGGGTGTGTGTGTGTGTGTGTGTGTGTGTGTGTATGTGTGTGTTTTAAGATGAAAAGACTGTGTTACTTTAATTGGCAAGATTTTTTTTTTTTCACAATGAGTAAGAATGGAGGATTTGGGTGCCATGTGAATTTATAATGGCAAGTAAACCTCATCTTTTATTATAGATTTGAGCTGTGTATATTTTAATCCTACTACAATGAGTCCTTTGAAGGAGTAAGATGTCTCAAATAATGAAAGTAGTCTTAGATTTTATGATATATAAGTATATCACATTTATATAAGTATATTTTGTATATTATGATAGATAAAAGAAAACTGGTTTAAGATGTAACAGAAAAATAAAAATTTATGGTGGCATAGGATAGAAAAAAAACAGAAGAAATTATTAAAACAGTGGGCAAACTAGCAGTACCTCTCAAAAGCTGAAACCTGTTGGACATGGTGGGGCACACCTGTAATCCCTGTGACTTGGGAGGCTGAGGCAAGAGGACTGCAAGTTTGAGCCAGCCTCATCAATTTAGCAAGGCCTTGTCTCAAAATTAAAAAAAATATATAGAAAAGGGGTAGAGATACCTCTATGGTAAGGTACCCCTGGGTTCAATTTCCAGTACCTAAATAAATTAATTAATAAAATTAGAGACAAGAGAGGGGATTGATGAATTTGGTGCTGGGTTACAGAAGGATGAACTTAGTTGTGCTCTTGGAAGAGACCATTAGAATTAAAGAGAAGCCATGCAGAATCCTTGAAAACTGACAATCCAAATGTGGTGACATTCTATTAACCACAACTTTTCATGGGGTATTAGTGCTGAAAGATATGTAATTTGAGTCCCTTGATTTATAGATAAGGAAACTAGAAACCGAAAAATATAAAATTTCTCTTCTGTAAAAGAAGGCAGTGAAAATCATAAATATGAGAAAAAGAAAAAAAAAAGTCCATTACATTTGGAAATCAAGTAGAGTGTGTATTTGTAGAATTTTGTGTCATTTTGATTGCACAACATGTTAGGAGCATGAAAGAAGCCCCTTTTGAAAAAAATGAAGTGATCATTTATGGAAGACAAAAAGCTTACGAGCAAGCATCATGGGAGCAAATACTCTGACGAGCGTTAAATGTGTTTTCATTTTTTATTAGAGAAGTTGGAAGTTGAATTTCAGTATTGATGATATCATCATTTTCTCTGGTTTGTTCAGAGGAGCACACAGGATCAATCTGTACAAGCATATACAATTCCATTGGCGTTTTGTGTCCTAGAATCAGCGATCTCATTAGTTCAAGGATGCCAGGTCTCCGTGCACCCTTCTGAGGCTTGGTGCCTTCGCAGGTTTCCCAGCCCTGTACTTCTTCATGCACTCTCTGCATTGCAACTACAGCAGGCTTGGACCATGCAAATTAACACTGTAGCAAATTGTTTGAATATTTAACAGACATAAAAAGGTATTTCCTGATATGAAATTCTGAAAATCTGCATAAATATTTTTGTGTAAAATTAAATTAGTTATGTTTTTTTTTCAAACTAGAACTTGAAGTATCAAGAATGCCCACATAATTCATATACACATATATATAGACTTTTTCATTATGCTAAAAGTCTTGATAGTCAAATTATATTCTGTGCCATACATGTATTTAACCAGTATTTATTTGGCATTAGGTTAACTGTGTCTGAACAAGTTAGTCTTAACTGGTGCTTGTGTATCATGCAAAACATATTCTAGTATTCCTGTACTAATCTTGTCATGTGGCAATATTTAGATGATTTTGCTCTATAACAGTGTGAATTAAGGAGTATAAATACTTTATACATGATCACATATACAAACGTTTGCCAATAACCACTTCACAATCTTTATGGTATAATAGTGAATTCTAATATCTGGAATCTGAAGAAGCAATTCCTATAAAGCAGGGTCAGATGTAAACTTTCTTAAATGATCCTAACAGAGTTTCCCTCTGAGCACTGATGAGTTTTGGCACAGGTCTACTCTTCGGTTATATTTCTCTATTGTTCTAATAACTTTCACAACTTTTACAGGAAATTAGCTTCTGACGGCATGGTAAAGACATGGCACTTACTGATGAGGTAACTTAGATATAGAAAAATTCTGCAAAATTATTTGTTTAGCAGACCACCACTTCTGCTCATGAATTTGTAGACAGAGTTTTTGCTTTTCTTATAGTGCATGCACTTGCTATGAAATTGCTAATGCACTGTTTTTTGTTTGTTTTTTTTTAAATTGCAGCTCAAACATGTTCTAATGCATCACGAAGCAGAGTTGTTAACACCAAGCTCATTTACTTGTGATGATATCTTATAGCAAACATGTTTAAGTTGTTTTATCAATGGTTAAACTCTGCCTTACTGGAATAGATTTCTGTGGATTTGCAGCTACTTTTGGTTCAGCCAAGAAAATTCAATACTCAAACTGATAAATAGAAGTATGTGTCATTCCAAGGTTTTTTTTTTTTTGTGTGTGTGTGGTTTCAGGTAACATCTTGTCTATACATAAAGAAAATAGCTTTTGTCCATGGAGTTTGTGTTCTGAAGTTGGGTGCAATCTTCTGATGATTTGTGGTTTTGCTGCTTCAGTTTGTATTTTGGAGTTTCACACTACTGTTGCTGGTCTGCGGTCCATCTCGGCTTCCAATTTCACCATCTGCTGCATCTCCTTCGCCTATAACACCAGAAACATGGCCTTACAATGTGAAATCCTCTCCCAAAGGCATTTTTAACAACTCTGGCTTCCCTTCTCCCCTAAATGTGATGCTGTCGCTATATCCTTGCTACTCAATGTGTGGTCCGTGGACCAGCAGCATCTACGTTCGTTCCCTGGGACCTTCTCAGAAATGCAGAATCTCAGAAGTGTTGGTAGATCAGAAGAACTACTGAATCCAAATCTGCATTTTAACAAGATCCCCAGGAAAAACACTGGAAAGAAGTCTGAGTCAGTCACTTGATATCTAGACTATTTCACATCAAAATGTTCCCTTTAGTTTATATAGTTTTACAAAGTCTTTTGACTGTGTGTAGACCATTTTTAGAATGAGTGTTGCGTATGTGCAATTTATTCCCCAAATAGCCTAAAATTTTATTAAAAAATATTCTCTGAGAATCTGATTGATGGTGAAAATCAGAGAAGAGCATATTTCATTGGTTTGGCTAGAGTGTCATGTAAATAGAACATTATAGGAATATGTAGGGGTCCAGGAGTCCTATTGTCCATACTGTATCCCTGGGAGTTTTTACTTCTCTGGGGTAATTCATTCTTTATGGATGGCCAGGAAGTAAGAGAACAGTGATGAATTCCATCTCATGAATTAAGACTGTCAGTAAGACAATCAGCTGATTTGAGAGGTGAAAAGGGATCTAATGGAGGAAGGATCTGGTGACTAATCATTGTTGGGCAACATAGGGAAAATAAAAAAAGTTCATTTCAACTTTTACTTTCCAACTGATGGTCTCGATGCTTTTTGGAGGGATGAGAAAGCACCCCTTTCTTTGTCAGTGACACTTTGAAATTAAGGGCATGTAAGAATGGAAACATGGAAATATAAAGGTATAAATCAGAGGAAGATTCTGAATGCTCTGGTGCTACTATTCATGTCTGTTTGGTATTTCCAACTAAATTGAAAAATCACAGGGCAGGTTCAGTCAACTCTAGATCATACTAGAACTCTCATAATCTCTCAAATAAAATTCTGTGAAAAAAATTAGTTCAACCCACAGACCACATAGTGATTTTCTTATTATTTCTTTCATGTTACAGATTTCAATTTCATTTTGTTGAGAATGAATATAATAACACCAAAGAATTACATTTATCTGTTTACATTTGGGATGAATGATTCTCTCCACCCCAGATATTTTTTTATCACTGATAATAGTAATACTCTAATAGAAAAATGAAGAAATGGAGAAAAATATACAAACATGAAACCATGACACAAACAGTATTCATAAGAGATGACAGTGAAACATTATCAGCACTGGAAATTAAATAATTTGATGTTTGGTTAATAGTAGTAAAAAGATTCCCTATGCTTCTCCCCCTTTAGCATTTAAAGGCAATATTGAACATAGCTTAGAAAGAAGAAATGTATGACATTAAAAGATAATTTTGAAAGCTACGTTCTTGTGTGAGCAGGGTGACCATTCATTTCCATTTGCCTGGGACAATTCTAGCACATGCCTGGCTATTATGAACAGCTCTCCCTTTCTTGAACATGTCTTATTTCTGGCTCAAACAATAAGTGATAAGGTCACTTTACCAGGTGTGACTAGGGTCCTTGGCAAACTGGACTTAGCAGAGTATAACAAAATACATTATGGAACTTTTCTGCACATAGACCATAACTTTCTGTCATTAAAAACAACAGCCAATTTTCAGTGGGGCACATTAAATATTAATTGTAGTCACATTAACAATGGTAATCAATATGACTCTGTGACCCACTCTTAGCCATGGTGGGTCCATATAACAAGTGTAAATATATATATTTATATATATATAAAATTGTTCTTAATATCTGGGTTGTCTTTATTATCATGACCTGTTTCCCAGATCTGCAATTGGAAATGCTGGCTAAAATGCCATCAGAAATAATTCTCTAAAGATTTTTTTAGTATTTCAGATGAAATATTATATCAGAAATCCAAGCATGAAATAGTCAAGTGCTTTAAGTCCAAACCCTTATGATATTAGTTACGACCAGATATGAATCATAAATGGAGGTTGCATCAAGAATACTGTAATTGAGAAGGAAAGCAATGGTTTGCTCATCAGAGTTTCAGTCCTACCTTGCGTTTGGGACACTGCATGACAGGATTTCAAAAGCTGTTTGTACAAAAATAGTAATGTCAAAATTGAGTCATACATACAAAACAAAGAAAATAAATGAATATTGAAGTGAATTTGAGAAATGAAAGCAAAAACCATATACAGAAAAGGAAAAACCTAAGAATAAAACATGTATACACCCATCAGTGACAAACTTGCCCCAAGTTGATCTCAACAGAAAAGAAAAAAAAAAAAAAGAACAAATCAAAATCAAACATCCAATGCCTATTTGCCCAGACTGCATGTCTCTTCTGTGGCTGTGAACAGAGAACCCAAGCTTAAGCCAAACCCTTTATCTTGCTTTATTAAACAATAGGATTGATGACAAAAATCAATTTTTAAGACTCAACTGTGACAATAATGGAGTCGTTAATGTTCAAAATGGCACATGTCAAGACAGATGATATATCATGTAGCTAGGAGGTCTATGGAAAAACCTGAGCAGGAAAAACCTTCCTGGCCTGTGGAGTTTTAAGTGAACAACTGGCTGATGAATCAGGCAAAGCCACATAGTGGCTTACAATGAACATATGAAAGTAGGATCCAAAATCAGAACCTAAACATAGGACTGATTGTATTGCTTCTCCCAATGCCCTCGACATGGGTCTTAATTGTCAAGTTGCTTTATTGTGAGATTGGTCTGGGGGATGGCTGGGAGGATGTTTTGGAACCAGGTCACTGAAAAGCAGTAAGTAAACCACAAGATTGAAATATTTAAATGTTTAAATTAATTTCTTTGGTCTAGAAACAAAATTGGTTATGAACAAGTTCTACTATATGGTTGCAGAACCTGACTTTTATGAGGGAAGAAAGGGTCTCATGGCCTCTTTCCCACATATGGCTATGGGCTATGACAGTGTCGCGCCATGAAAAATAACTGTGAACTGACAGCTTAGCGGACCCCTAAATTAAACAAATAAAAAAAGTGCTAGAAAGATCTGGGATTCGACTACTTATAGGACAGTCCATATGTGTAAAGCCAAACAACAAAGAAATCCAAGTTCAAATTCTATATTTGCCTGAAGGGTCAGTATGATATCTTGAATTTTTTTTTCACCTTTAAATCTCATGAAATCTTCATCAGGTCTCAAAGTTTTTTATGTTCTGTGCTTTCCTAAGCTTTTGTGACTCAAAATGTCCATTGTGGGTGGTAGACATAATTTATGACACACTGAAAGGCATTTTATGAATTTTAGGAACAAAAAGCCGGCATCCTCTTAACATACAACAATTACTAATTCAGTATTTTAATGCAAGAACTCTAATGTGATTTGAATCGATCATGTATCAGTATAGACGTTCAAAGTGATTTTTTAAAAATTATTTACTCTGACTCTGAAACTAACATTAGAAAACTATATATTCTAGCTCTGAGCTACACCACTATTGTAGTGATGAGCAATTTTTAGCACATTTACATTCTTTAGTCAAATACGTTGCTAAGCAACACAATAATTTCTAAGTAGCTTCTTAATTTAGATAGTTAAAGCATAACTATGCCTTACCTTTCATTGTGCTCTTGTCCTAAGAAGGATTTTTTATTTTTAAACTTTCTCCGGGGCATCCTATCCCCACCTACTCCTGAATTACTCAAGAGGGTTCTAAAGCTTTAGAGATAATGATTTTCCCTTATTCACATTTCTACTTCCCCAGGAATACTTTCTGGGAAAAAATGTAAGAGCAAAAACACAGGTTACCTAAATCATACCAGAATGTGACATAGCCATGTGCTGGTCAACTGAATTGAACTTATGGGACAATAAACACTGATGGTCTCCTTTGGGGATTGGTGAACTATTCATGAATAGAAGCACTTAGCAGAAAAGGAAATGTGAAACAATTCAGAACTATGTAGATGAATAAAACTTTTGTCAACCAAAAAATAGAGTTTGAAACCAGAAATCAGATTGGTTGCCCAGATGCAATTAAAAAAAAAAAAAAAGATTTCACGGGTTTTACTTTCTTAAAGGTACTTTGTAATTTAATTCCTACTTAAGTGTTTTTCAATGAAAGCCATTTACTTTGAGAATGTGAATATATATATATATGTGTGTATATATATATATATATATATATTTAATTTATATATATATATATATTTAATTATGCTTTATAGATAAGAGGAAATAGAGAAGGACAATGTGGTTCAAGTACACATTTCATCGAAACTTCTGTACATGTAGTTTCTAAATGGGAGTAAATTTCTAGAAAGAATAACTTCCAAGCCAACTTCACCTAAAGAGTGAAATTTGAACTCAGAGTCTGAAATTTAAACCCTTCCTGAGGGTCATGTTGCCTTTTAAGCTAGAGGAATTTCCATCAAGTTGAAATGGTGCTGTAGAAGGCTGATGGACTACAGACCATTTGGGATGAATCCCACCTGTACTTTGGAATGTGAAAATACATCTACCCTCATCCTGTTAACTAAATGGCTGGAGTTTGGATAACTCTTTATTTATTTGATATTTAGTGTTTTGCTTTGCTGGGAAGAAGAACCAAGAGTATGGTGTCCACTCACAATGGGTGGTTTGTAGATTTGTTGGAGGCATGAATTTAAATCCTAGGAAGGATTCATAACTTCACTTTTGGACTGACATTGAAAATAGAAAAATTTTAAATTGGCTTTTAAATATAATTTCACTTGTCTGGAGGCTGCAAATTGTAAATCTCTAAATGAAACCTGAGAAGTAATTTTTGTCCTGCTTTCTTATTCACACTCTTTTAGTAATGTCGTTCTCAGAATCCCCATAACATGTTCAAATTATGACTTTTCATTCTTCTTCTTTTTCCCACAGATACTCGAAAAAATGTACTTTCTGTATTTTTTGGATGAAACTGATAAAATAGGTTAAATATCCAGCAGAATCCTCTAGGCACCTTCCCATTACCCTCTGCAGGCCAGTGGCTTTAGCAGAAGGGTCCCTGTGGGCCATGACATTTGCATACTGAAATTGGTTGACTGCCAACATGGTTTTATGTATTTTAGGTAAAATACCTGCTCATTCTGCTTCTCTAGAAATTCTAGGTGTTCAAGTTGGACTTTTTTCAATTGATCCATTTCTTTGGATTGCTTCATTGCAAGCTGCAAAAGAAAAGAAAAATTTTGATAAACTTTGGGTCACAATCTCTAAACTTATGGATGAGGGATGACTTTTAAGTTCATAATTTAAGTGAGGAAGATCATAATTCAAAAAAAGAAAGAAACATAGTCTGAATACTGTGAGAGTTTAAGCCCATAACTCTTACTGAGAAGATCTTTCCTGCTAGAACTTTAAAAAATAATAGAGTACTTATATATGACTGAAACTTGCCTTCATAGTCTATATAAAATGCTGTCAAATAATTACCCTAAAGATTTTAAAAAGAGATTAGCTTTCATGGAACAGAGAAGCTGTAATGTTCAATGTATGGAAAAAATCAAATTAAGCACATTAGTTAGAAGGCTGATATCTAAGCCCAAGTTATTGTCTACAGTTTTTATTCAAGGAAAAGTGCCAAGAAAATTATAAAGTACTTACTCTCTTTCTTTCTTCTAGAAATTTTTTAGTGTTGCTGCTGTTTAATTCTCTGACTCGCCTAAAAATAATATACAAATAATAGTTGGCATGACTATTGGGAACAAAGCTTATACAAGGAAGAACCAGTTACACTCTACTTAATTATCTGAGTAGAATTGCTGCTTTTTCCTAATTTTTATTGCAGCATTTTCAAACATACAACATACAGAGGAAAACATAAAAACTATCTGTGTACATACCTCTCAGGTTAACCAATATTCGTGTTCTACCATGATCTCATATTTTAAAGGAAGTATTACAGATTTAATAAAAGCTTCTTTTGTACTCATCCTGATTTTATTTCCCTCCTTCCTCTCTTCCCAGAGGTGTGAATCACTGTTCTGAATTTGTTCACAACTGACTTAAAATATTGTATTTTAATATTTTTAACTACAAATGGATGTGTCTATGTGCAAAATATATAAGTCCTTCTCAAACTTTCCCATGTATACAGCTTACCTGGAGGTAGAATCAAAAACATTTTTCTGAGACTGCCCCAAAAAAAGTCTGATTCAGTGGATTTCAGGTGAGCTTCCAATTCCACATTTCTAGCCATCTCCCAGGTATGCTATTGTTGTTGATATTACTTTGTATGTTTTCAAAATTTACCCAAACAGTAACATATTTTGAGTTTCTTTCCATAATTTATCACTTAGTCTCAAATTTTGGAGATAACATCTGTTTCAAACTACTCCATGGTTTCATCTACTGTATGGATTTTTCCATTAATGAACAAACTACAATATTTCCATTTTCCATTTTTGTTTATTAACAAAAATAAGTTATTTTCAAACAATGCCACAATGACCTGATACATAGGGCCCTGCAATACTTGGCACAAGAAATGTTAGTTGAATAAATAAATAAAGTTAGCGGTTTCATTCATATATATATGTGTGTGTGTGTATATATATATATTCACACACACACACACACACACACACACACACACACATACCTAGAGTTGCCAGGTGCTAGGATATAGCAAATCTATTTTTTGGGGAGGGGTACCAGGGATTGAACTCAGGGACACTCTACCACCCCCAGCCTTATTTTGTATTTTATTTAGAGACAGGTTCTCACTGAGTTGCTTAGTGCTCACTGTTGCTGAGGCTGGCTTTGAATTCGAGATCCTCCTGCTTTAGCCTCTGGAGCCACTGGAATTACAGGTGTGCGTCACTGTGCCTGGCTATGCTATTGTTTTAATTGTCATCTCCCTGATTACTGGTGAGTGGAGTGTTTTTCATGACAAAATTGACCTACAACTTGTGGAACTTTGGTAACAGTTATAAGTCTGTTCAAGTTTTCCCCATTTTCAGTCAGTTGTGAATATTTGCATTTTTTTCTAGGTTCTTCTCCACTCCACCTGTTTTTAAGTTCATTGTCTATAGTAGCCTTGATTTTTAAAAAATATTTATTGTCTCTGCAGTTATTTTCTCCTTTCCTTCCCAGTATCACCAAATTGTGTTTTCTCTTTTTCATCTTAATTTGTCTTGCTGAAAATTTATGCAAGCTTTTGTTTTTGTGGATGCTCTCCATTGCTTTTTGTTCTATTTCAGTACTTTCTGCTTTTTTATTTATTATTTCGTCCCATTTGAGATCTTTGGATTTACTCTGTTTCTTGACCTTTATACCTTCTTTAACAGTTTAGCTCATTGATTTTCACACCTTTGAAAATACATGCATCCAGCTCTACTTTTTACCTAAATATCACCTTAGCCACCTTGAACCTATCAATACATAGTGCTTGCTTTACCAATTCAGTTATAAATGCTGTGCAATTTTTGTCGAAATGTTTTTGAATCAGGAATAGAATAGTTTTTCTGTCCCTATGTCTTTCTTAGTGCTATGATAAAGTTTTAATTTTATTTCTCAGCAACATTGTAAAATGGAAACATACTCAAACAAACATATGGTATGTGTGTTTGGAAGGTAATTAACCATTTGTCATACAGAAATTATTATTATTTTTTAAATCTAGCAATTTTTTGATTTGGGGAACCAATTATCACTGCATACAAAATTATAAGAATAAATATAAGTCAAAATACAGGAAATATTTTTTAAAACTTGCTAATTAAGTTAGCTGTGACTCAGAATTGAAGATCATTTGACCTGTTGAACTAACATCCACTTTAGAACATATTTGAAAAAAAGTAAAAGATAAAGAACTATATAGAAATTAGTAAATTTTATCATGTTGAACTATTTATTTCACTTTGGACAGTCTAAAACAATTCAAATTTATGATGTGTGTTTTTTTTTAAAATCATGGCTAAGATATTTTATGTTTTTGAGCTGAGGATGATTGTGCCATTTTCATTCATCTAAGATACTTACAACAAGTTTCTTATTTGAGAATAACATCCAGAGACTGGCACCTTTTAATAATCAAGAACCAGAAAGATACCATGACATCATGCTGCATATAAGCAGTGGTACAAATGATTGATAACCTCCCTAGAGCCTTCTTATTTACTACTCCACATCGAGAGAGAAGTGTGGGAAATAAAATTCATTTTCAGGTCAAAATTACTGTGGAATTTTCTATCCCATTTTGGGTCCATTATTTCTTTCTTTCTTTTTTTAAATATTTATTTCTTAGTTGTAGTTGTACATAATACCTTTAGTTTATTTTTATGTGGTGCTGAGGATCCAACCCAGGGCCTAGCACCTGCTAGGCAAGCGCTCTACCACTGAGTCACAACCCCAGCCCCTGGGTCCATTATTTCTAATTAGTATTTATTGTAACAAAATTTCAGCACAAGAAATGTGCTAGATGGCACTAAGCTTTATATTTTATCATAGTTTGATAATTGAATGATTTAGCATCATTCAATAATTGAAATGTGTTTTAAAAATCAGTGGTACCAAGTAGTAGGACAGCAGTCCTGATGTGTTCAAAACAAGAAGGAAACATCAGGTGTCCAGTGAGCATCCACAGAAGGCCAGGCAGCAGGGGAGGGACATGAGGAGGATCTACTTTGTAGTTTCCAATCCTCTAACTGCTCAGCCTATGGCTCACAGGGTGATGAATGACCTGAAATCCTCGCTCATGTTTCTGTTTTATCCCCAAGAGCAAATCGTCACTGTGTTCTGTACTTTGCAGGGCATAAAATAATCTTTTGATGGGACATGGACTACTGTCAGAAGATCACCTCTGGTTATGTATCATTCCTCTAGGACAAGGAACCCTGCTGTCCTTAAGCACTAAGCCAGCCTCTTGATTAGCATACTCAGAGGTGGGTGGTGAGCAGAAGAGGTGAAGGTGTTATCTGTGATCACTGCTTACCAGGTGCTATTAACTCCCTCTCTTGGGTAACATGATGATTGATGCCCCTCAGATGCCTCTTTACCAGCTGCAGTTAAAGGGCTTCCACCTGGCACCTTCAGTAAAAGAAACACAACCTTGCCCAGGCAGCCTGTGACTGATCAATATGGAATATGAAAACCATATAGCCTTTCCTCAAAGGGAGACACATCTGGGTGCAAGGTATAATATGGAGCTTTGGGTCAGGCTACCAGGGGACTCTGGCTGGGACTGCAGCCTTACTGAGGCCTGCCCTGGCTCCATAGTGCTTTCCCCATTTCCCACTGCTGAAGACCCCTGGATTCCTGTCTTTCTCTCTCTTTCCAGAAAACCCACCTAACATAGGAGCAAACCAGAAAGCTGACCCAATGAAACACGGGAAGGATGTTTTGGAGTATATTATTATATCAAATTTTATAAAATTTTGTGTATAAATGAGCACACATATTTTGAAAGTACACTTATTTTACTGGTCATAGTAAACAATCAGAAAATTGCAGAATACTGTTCTACAGCAATAATAATAAATCTCAATAGTAGCTATAATAGTTGAACTCCTAGCCAGAACACACTAGCATTTTCTATTTCAGATGAATATGTGTGTCCACACACACAAATGTTGCCTCGACTGTGTCTTCAAGTCAGGATCTATTTCTCCAGTGAGTGTGCTCAGACTTACCTTTCCCGTTCTGCTTTATTCTTGATAGATTTGTCTTGGCTGATGGCTTTGCTGTTTTCCATAGAAATCTTGGCCTGGTGGGCTCTCATTTCCTTGCTTTCCCTGTTGTACGAAAAACAGAGGGGGAAATAGATGGAGAGTTCATGTTAAATGTGTACAATTTCCTTTGAAGAAGATGAAAAAGTTCTGGAAATGGGTGGCCATGACAGGTACACGACAATGTCAATATACTTGATGCCTCCTGCTTAAAAATGGCTACAATGTTACATTTTGTGTTATATATGTTTAACCATAATTTAAAAAATATAAAAGTTAACAAAGAACAAATTGTATATGTGATAACAGAACAAGGCCCACTTATTCTTCTCATTGTTGATCTTATCAAGTCGTTTTTGTATTTTGGAAAAGGAGGGAAGAAATCCCAACTCTTGTGGATCCCTGAGGGGTAGTGGGCCACCTAGTGGTGAAGTGACAGTGGTGGCCTGTAAAGATGAGACATCTTTGTCCATAAATGCAAGCATTTGTAGCTTAGCCCAACATTATTTGAGACCAGATGGGCTGGAAGAGAGAAAGAGTGCTCTAACCCTCACAAAGAAGTGCCTTTGCTGACAGTCTGTGGGAATGAAATGGAATCAATGATTTTACGTTGGCACAGAAAAAGCACCTTTTTTTACGGTGACTGATCACTGGGTGCATGAGTGTGCAGGTGGGCCTAACGAGCATTCCTGTATTTAGGTTATCTGTATGTACAATAAGGATATAGAATTTAGAATAAGAAAATGAATTTGGGTACACAGACTTTTTTCCTGGAATCTATGGAAAATTTAAAACCATGCTTGGCATCGGACATCCAAGGAATCTGCTAACCTAAGTACAGTGATTTGCTCCACATCAAAAACAATGGACAACTCTGAGAGTTCTTCAGTCAGCTACCTTAGAGCCACAGCACCAGGAATAAGCAGAGAGACTCTGGGTCCAAGGAAAATGCTCTCAAAGTTTTCCATAACTTGTTAGTAAATTGACCATTTCTTTATCTCTTTAGTCATTCATTCATTCATTTAACAAAAACTCATTGATGACCAAATGTTGCTGACAAGTGTTTACGTAAACAAGAACAACAGTTTTAACAGTAAAAATGAAACTCGACCACCAGGCACTTTAGAAAAAAACTTCAAACACTGATGTTGCTTTGAAAGATGTTGTGGATTTATTTTTTAAGGTAAATTAGTACTTTGTTCATGGTTTCAAATGACTTCCTAAGTAATATGAGAACCAGTTTACTTATTATTTTTTTTCAGATGATGCCTACTGTTTGGAGCATTTTTTTTTTTTGGTACTGGGGATTGAACCTAGGGGTGCTCAGTCACTGAGCCATATCCCCAGCCCTTTTTACTTTTTATTTTGAGTCAAGGTCTGCTAAGTTGCTGAGCACACAATTCTCCTGTGTCAGCCTCCTGAGCCACTAGAATTATAGGAATGCACCACCATATCCAGCCTTTTTTTTTTTTTTTTAACAATTCAAGTACAAAATGATTAGAAAAATGCCTTATGGCCACCAGGCATGGTGGTATAATATCAGCTACTTAGGAGACAGAGGCATGAGGATCACAGTTCTAAAATAGCCTTGGAAACTTAGTGAGACATTATCTCAAAACAAACAAAACAAAACAACAAAAACAAAATTAAATGAAGAAATCATTTCAAAAAAGAAAAAGAAACAAGAAAGGTGATTTATGCTGTGCAGTATCTTTAAATAAAGGTAAACCTCTAAAATCTGGCACTGTAGCAACAGTCAATGGCAGAATGAGAAACAGATATTTTTTGCATATTGAATCAAGAACATAATTACTAAGGAAAAGAGAAAGATGACTTCTAATCCTGTGCAACCAAATAGAATATTTTCAACTGCAAGAGGTATATGACATTATCTCAGAGGAGATACAGCATGTTGTACTTTACCTAGTTGTCTCAAATGAGAATCAGAAACTATGGCAAAAAGACTTTATATTCTATGGAAGTTTCTGGGGCTGGGGATATATAGCTCAGCTGGTAGAGTGCTTGCCTAGCATGCACAAGGCCCAGGGTTCAAACCCCTGCACCACCACTGGGAAGGAAAAAAAAAAAGAGAGAGAGAGAATTCTCTGTGGAAGTTTCTATCATTGTAAAATAGGGCTAGGAACTTGGGCATGAAACTCAAGAATTTATGCAGTTGACATTTTTAAAAGCATGTTGTTTATTGTATAATGCTTGTTTTTTTTTTTATTCTTTGTGGACATCAACATGTCCCAACTGTGGCATACAGCAGTCTCCAAAAGGAAGCAAGCGAGCTGTAGGCAAGCTGGGGTGAACAGATGTTATTGACACAAACACTTCTTTCCAGGGGAAAGTCCAGCTCAACCTGGGCGATAGTTCAAATACAATATTTACTTTGTTGAAGTAGGGAGAGGCAAAGGAAGATATATATATATATATATACATATATATATATATATATATATATAGAGAGAGAGAGAGAGAGAGAGAGAGGCTGTATTTTGACCAGGCCTGTCTTCCTAACATTCACAGAAGTCCTAATAATGTGAAGAAGAGGAGAGGAGGTCGCTCCCAAGTTAGTAACCGAGTGATGAGAATAACTCTGGGAGCTCCACTGGTTGGTCTTTTCTCCCTCAGTGTTTTTTCTTCTTCTGGATCATTTTTCAAAGGCCAATTCCAGCCCTACTTCTATAAAGCCTTCGGGATCACTCAGAGCATGTAGAGCACCTTTGGGCTGGATGCCCTTAGTGTGTGTGACATTTTGTAGTATGTATCATACACTACTTGCAATTTCATTTAACTTTTCATGTGAATGTAACATCTTGCCAATAATTGTAAGCTCTCTGATGGCAGAAGCCATTTCTTATAGTTCACCTTGTTCACACCAACTGTATGATAAGAATGTACATAAAAGGTTAACATTGTATGTCAAGTGTACATGCACACGCACATGTGCACACACGTGTGCACACACGAGCACCTACAACCAACCAACCTCTTTTAAAAACTAGCAGTTTACTCTGGAAATGGCTAACTCTCCTACCTGTCATGGGACAGTTTCAGCTGCTGGGTTTGCTGCTCGTGAGCATTGATTAGTAGCTTTCTCAGTAGTTCACACTGCTGGTTAAGGTGCAGGTCCCGTATTTCTTGCTCCTCAGCACTGTGGGTGTTGATCATTTCTGACCACTCCTTTGTGTGCTGTGCTACAATCTCTTTGACCTATTTGGTGGAAAGGAGATGCGGTAATCTAGAATGCTCATAGATCAGGTACAAATTGAAAGCAAAATATTATTCATGCACGGCAGATCCCTCTCACCCCTATAACTACAAAAGAATGAGTAAACAAATAAATAAAAATAAAAGTACTAATCAAGGAGAATTGGGAAGTCATTGCCTATTAACATAAATCAAGCACTTTGGTTGTAAATATTTAACTGGGACCTATTATGTCACTGCCTAACTTGCCCATGCTCTGGTGTGTCTGGTCCTGGGGCTCCTTTATCAGTTTCACCAGCATTCTCTTCATGCTTTACCTGCTTTGTTTTCATCATGTAACAGGTCTGAACAGAGAGCTGTGGCATAATTATTTCTGGATCATGACTTACTGCATCCTCCCTAATACATGTGTGGGTAGATGTCCTCCCCTCTTTGCAATGTGGTACTAATGTTCCTCTTGTCAACAGGTAGAATCTATTTCTCCACATCCTTGAATTTGGCTGACTTTCTGACTTCCTCCAGCCAATGAGATAAGAGCCAACATGATGCAAGTAGAGGCTTGGGCAGTGCTTATATTTCTTGGGCACCCTGTGGCAACCTGTGCTAGTCTGATGGAAGCTGAGAGGTCAAGAAGCAAAAGACAGCCAGCAGCCAGCCAATCGCCAGAGGTGAGGCCTGCACATGAGTACTATCAGACTCATAGATTTTTTTTTTTTTTTTGTAAATTTAATATTGCTGGAAGAACTGTTTCTGCTCTTCATTGACTCTTAGGATTTAGGTCTCCAAATACCCATAACCTTAAGTAAGGTCTTTCAATTTATTTTTTCCTATCTTGGGGGAAACATAAGGAATTATGTTCATCTCTTAGTACACTGACTCTCGGTTTTTCTCAATCCAAATTTCTACAGCAGGATGGAGTAAGTATCGAACAGGTACTCAACATCCAATTTGGATGGTTTTCTTTCATACATTTTCTGTTACTTCTACCTTCTGTATTTTATAGAGTATTTCCTTCTGGTCTCTTTATGTATGATTTCACATGAGGACTAAGAATGAGGGAAAATAAATCTTGTTAGCATATTTCCATAGATAAGACAAAAACATGTTCCATGAAGTGGTTCTTCTCAAAACCAATAAATCTGCAGCAAATGCCATCTCTGGATCTCATTTCTTCTCAGACCAGATGCAGGCTACTATTATTTCTGATTGGTATCAGGTACCCTACTTAAAAAACTACCAAGTATCTTCTGTATAAAAATGGGCATTTCCTTACCTTTGATTTGTGATCTGATGTCAGGGTCTGAATTTTAATTTCTGTTTCTTTTTTCATTTCGAGACAATTACTTCCCCTGAAAATGGAAAATTGCAAATACATGCCACAAATTAGATCTCTCCCAATTCCCTTGGGCCTTTGGAACAAAGCTTTCTGATGAAGACAATATATTCATCAAAATTGGAATGCTATGGCTCATTGGGCGGCATCAGTTTTTCTAGTAATAGATTCACACCTTACAAAATATTATCTGTACCATGATTACTCAATTCAACTGCTACACAAAGAGATGCTCCAGACCTAGCAATTATTTCATTGTTAAGGGTCTGTTGTCAGAGTTTCCATTTTGGTTCCTATTTTTCCTAAAGCTCTTTTTCATTTGTTCAATAAAATATTATTTGGGATGAAAACTGGAAAATAGGTCTTTATCCTGGAAGTGAAATTTTAATTCTTACATTTTGGTTGTAAAGCCAGATTTTTGTCTTTCATATATGCCAATGAGGAAGAAACTAGCCTTTCTTGGCATCACAGGGTAATTTCTGCTTCTTATTCGATTGTAAGAAATAGATACTAGGCAATTTCCCAGCAACCATTACTGCATATTTCAATGATGATGTTTTCCTTTCCATATTGATGCTAAAACAAGAACAAGTCCTGAGCTTCTGTTTTCAGCAATTATGTTCTCGTTTATTACAACCCAAGTCAGAATGTTTCATTATATTATTAATTGAGCATTCCTCTGAAAGATGCATTACTCTAAAAATGCAACATCTTTCATCAAATCCGTTCCTTCTTTGGGGTTGGCACCCAGTATGTTTCTTTTCTAGTCTGTTATTCAGTGAGCTTGGGTATTACTGAAACGCTGTCCTGCCTTTTTCTAGACAACATCTTTCACATTAAGTGCAATGATACATGGTATTCAATGGTCTTAGGTTGGGACATATTCTAAGCACTCCTATAATATTAAAAACCAGGATTGCACTTTTTTCACATATTGCATCATCTCATTTATTTTCTGGCTACATAAAATAATTTCTGTAGTTTTGAATTTCCTCAACTTCATCTCATCCTTCCTGTTCTTTCCCATTCATCTTTTCCCTGCTACCTTAAAGATGCTGAGTAGAAAACACAGGAGAGACATAGTTATCATATCATTAGGCAACGGCTGCTGAGCACTTTTAGATCCTCCCTGCCCCATTTCAATCATTCCCTTCACTGAGGAGGCAAAGTAAGGAAACCTTTTACAAGTGAGTCTTGACTTATTATGGGGTCACATCTGCTAGATTCATCGTAAGTCGCAAATGCATCTCATTCATCTAGTCTCTCAAGCATCCTGGCTTAGCACAGTTCACTGTGGAGTCAAATATTTCCCCTTGTGATGGTGTGTCTGTCTGGTGGCTGCTGCCCAGCATGGCAAGCTGCTAGCCCAGGCAATTATTGAAATTTAAAATTCAAAGTAGGATTTCTAAGCTGGGAATGGAACCACCATTTGACCCAGCTATTCTCCTTCTTGGACTATACCCAAAAGACCTAAAACGAGCATACTACAAGGGACACAGCCACATCAATGTTTATAGCAGCACAATTCACAATAGCTAGACTGTGGAACCAACCTAGATGCCCTTCAATGGATGAATGGATAAAAAAAATGTGGCATTTATACACAATGGATTATTACTCATCACTAAAAAATAACAAGATCATGGCATTTGCAGGGAAATGGATGGCATTAGAGCAGATTATACTAAGTGAAGTTAGCCAATCCCTAAAAAAACCAATGCTGAAATGTCTTCTCTGATATAAGGGGGGTGACTCAAAATGGGATAGGGAGGAAGAGCATGAGAAGAAGATTACCACTAAATAGGGAAGAGAGGTGGGAGGGAAAGAAGGGAGAAGGGGAAATGCATGGAAGAAGGAAGGAGACCCTCATTGTTATATAGATTACATGTATAATGATGTGAGGGGGAAAAAATGAATTGTGTCACATTAGATTGGGTAGAGAGAAGTGATGGGAGGGGAGGGGAGAGGAAGGGGGGATAGGAAGGACAGCAGAATAAAACAGACACTAGTATTGCTGTATGTATATACGTGACTGTATGACCTACGTGATTCTGCAACCTGTACACTCAGAATAATGAGAAATTATACCCCATTTGATTCAAATGTATGATATGTCAAGATCATTGTACTTTCATGTGTAGCTAATTAAAACAACAAAAAATAGGGTTTCTAGTCAGCCATATTGTTTTCATACCATCATAAAGTTGAAAAATCCTATGTCGAACAGATGGTTTAAGTTGCTTCAGAAATGAATTCTGCTTAAGAAATTTCCAACGACTTCATAACCAGTTTCCCCATTCCTGGATGTCTTCCCAACTTGTTTATAGTCAATAATCTTGACAACCTTGATACCATGGTCAGTAACACTCGGGAACTCTGCTTAGAATATGGCTCTCCAGAAGAGAGTATCTGATGTCTAATTTTTGAAGTTAATTTTTTGTTTCTTTTGACCTAGGTATTGACCCTAGGGATGCTTAACCATTGAAACACATTCCAAGCCCTTTTTAATCTTGTCTACAAGATCCATTTGTTGAGAGATCTCCAAGACTACTCACTAGGCTGACTAGGGCACTAAGAGTCCTAGGAGGAAAAACTATGAAATGTCACTTTGACTCCATTTAACCTTTGGGAGTAAGAACAATAACAAGCTAAAGATACATCTTTGTTTTCCTAGAGCCAGTGTTGTTGATTTAGAAAGCTGTCAAATACTTTTTAACAAAGACAAGATATGATGCTCCAGTCTAATATCTCCTAAATAAAGATTCTGGTTTAAAAAAAATTCCAAGATAGTCATTAAAAATATACATAAGGCATTACTGGGAAAAGTTGACTTGTGAATTAAAATGCTTATTCTTGGAGAGGACCTTAAAGTTCTCCAAAATTTCCTTCTTAAAACATATCATTTGGATCTGTCTATCTCCCTTTCACATTTTGGTTAAAAATTTCATGTGAAAAAAAGAAAACAGATTGCCAATAGATAAATAAATAAATATGTCAAATAAAAGCTGCTAAGGTAGCCAAAAGTCTAAACAGTCACAGCTTCTCAAAATGTATCATATTCACCACCAATATGGTCACATAAGGCATGAGCTGTGCCTGACTCACTTAAATACGTGTCGAAATGTTTTCAAAGCCCTGGTTCTTCTGCGGTGATACACAGTGAAAACAACAGCAAAAACAAAAGGCACACTGTGCATAATGCTAATGCTCTGTAGTTATGTCTAATTTGTATTTTTCTGGAAAATAAAGCTGTAATCAATATAAAGTTACCTCTCAAATAATTCATCAGAGAAATAGAATGTGTGTTAGTCTCACAGTATCTTCCTGAAGATGCAGATTAATGGTAAAGGGAAAAGCAGTGCATGTTGCAGTGTAGAAATCTATCAGAGACCACTTTCAACCAAGTGATCCAGATCAACATCACTGTCAATGAGATAGATCATCACGTACCCCTGACATCAAGAGCTGGCAAGGAAGCAGCATCGCTTCTGGGTGTGCTGGCCAAAGATGCATGCCCTCCCTCCAATCATGAGAAAACATCAAATCCAAAAGGAGAGACATTCTACAAAATAACTGAGCAGAACTCTTGCAAATTGAAAGGGAGAGACTCTCATAGACTGGAGGAGACTGAGAAGAAAGTAAATGCAATGTGCAATTCTAGAGTGGATCCCAGAAAAGAAAAACAGAATTATTGGGAAATCTGGAGAAACCTGAAAGAGCAATAGAGTTTCACGAGTGGTATTATTCCAATGTGAATTTCATGCTCTGATCATTGTACTGTGGTTATATGAGATGTGAACTTTTGGGGAAGCTGCCTTAAGGGCATAATAGGATTTCTCTGTACTACAGTGGTCCTCCCTTATCCACAGGGAACAAGTTCCAAGACCCCTAGTGAATGCCTGGAACTATAGATAGTACGAAACTCAACTGTATTATGTTTTCTATACCTACATGCCTATGATAAAATTTAAGTTATAAATTAGGTACAGTAAAGTGTCAGCAACAGTAACTAAAATTAAAATAGAACAATTAGAACTATATACTGTAATGAAAGTTAATTAGATTTAAGGCTTATTTCTAGAATATTTCATTTAATATTTTTGGACTGCGGTTGACCACAGGAACTGAAATAACAGGAAGTGGAATGCACAGAAGGGGATAATTCTGTATTTTTGCAACTTTTCTGTAAGTTTAACATTATTCCTAAAATAAAAAGTGAAACCAATTCTCAGAAATAGAAAAGTATTTTCTTTTCCATTACTTTTGGCTAAGATTTCTTTTTTGTATTAGATCTAATTACAATGAATGAGTAGGTTTCAGGGCCTCTGTTGAGAAAGGTTCCTAAACCAAGGTTAAATGGACTGATGCCTTGCCCTGTTTGGATGCTAGGGTGTAAAAAATGAGTGAGTCTCATTTTTCAGGAGCTCTTTTTAATGACAAAAACTGAGCCAACACTAAGTTCTTCCTTGGCATAAACAAGCAGCTGTACTGTGGGAAAAAGTAAAATATAAAAAGTGAAAAAGTCTCCAGAAGAAAATAAGCAGCATTACCCCTTCTTCTTCATTGCCTTCTCCAGGATTTTCTCATGAGTGGACTTCTCTTTGTCGTACTGCGCCACAATTTTGTCAACTTGCGTGCAATGTAACTTCTGCATGGTACTGTGCTCCTGGAACAAGAAGAATTTGCTGTTATGAGTTGGACTTTTATCATGGCTGGTACTTAATACCATTGGGCTGGCATCATTTCACCAGCTTTTGCAGGGTCTTTGGAAAGTCAAAGAAAAAGTAATTGAGTCTGAGAACTACATAGACTTTCAGTCTCATCCAATGCAAATTTTCTGTTCCAGGGCATGCCCAGCTAGGAAGCCCCAACCTGTCTAATGAACACACTGACCTCAAAAAGCAACCCTGCTTTAGGGTGGGCAGTGCCAAACATTTCAAAGTCTTTGCTTCATGTTTTCATATGATTCCTACCTATTCATATCCTGCTATCCTGGAGATTGCTCTATTGTACCTTCTACACGCCAGTCTTCAAACCCTAAAGTGCAACCGCTATATATATATGTACATGTATACATATATATATATACATAACACACACACACACACATATACATATATAAATATATATATATATATGTATATTTTGCAAAAGAGAAGAAATTATGTGAAATGGATTCTAAACACCTGGAATAGCATTGTTCCACCCCAGGCTGTCCCCATCAGCTGAATCTGAATTGACATCACTAGGTATTTTCACTGACTTTCTTTTCAAATATACTCATGAGGATTATGAGAGCATTCAGTAGTTCTAGCCTTCAGTTTTATATATGTTTAAAATGTTTTCCGCTCCGCTTCATTTAATCATGGAATTAAAGCAGCAATGCTTTGAAAATAGAAACTACTTCTCTACAAACCTTATTTTCTCCTGGACAATGAGAAAGGTAGTAACTACAGCCAGTGACTTATATGAAATCAGATTTCTTTTGCAGCTCAGAAAAAACCAGCACCACCAGTGACCCCCACCTCTAAATGATATTTGATGAAATAGATTAGTCTGGCTCTTAAGAAGTGGGGTGATACTTTGGATTGGAATGGACAGGTGTTGTTAAGTTTGTAGAACTACTACTAGAGTCATATTTCCTTTTGCCTTTTTAAAAATTCAATGACAATTTAAAAACAAATTAATTTTCTTCCTAAGTTAGGCATGAATTTAAGCAACCTGAATGCATGGATGTCTATTTTAAAGATTCATGACATAAAAAGGGGAAAGGGATTTTTAACTTTAATGAAACTTTAATCCCCCAGCTCTCTTAGTGAATTAACACAGGACTGGATCTATAATTCATTTATACGAAAATGCATTGATGCACAAGGCCAGTCTCTGGGAGAGGAAGGGGAGGAGGTTGGTGCTGGCTGGAAGGTTCCAAGAAAAGGAACTTAATGGGCACAAAAGTGATGTTATCTTTCTGTGGATTTAGGGTCAGATTGTTATATGCAATACTGTCTTGTTTAATTTGTACTTGGGACAACCCTTAATATTGCTATATTGGCAATGTGTATACCTTTGTGTTATAAACACACTTCAGTGAGAGCTTCTACAAACTGGCATTAAGTGGGTTAAGAATATAGATTTCTCAGTCTCAAGTTGTGGAACAAGTCTGTTCACCTTCATAATTGGGATAGTGATACACACTTTATAGGGTTGTTAGGGTTCTAAGTAAATCTAATATAAATCATATTTCAAATGCCTATTATACCCTACTCAAAATACAATGACATATAAATCTATTTATACTACTCAATACCCATGATGATATACTGAGAGTGACTTGGGAATCAGATTAATTTAATAAAAAAATCTTTCCTGCAAGCTTAGCCCACTGATATGTTCTTGAAAATATTTAACTACTCTCACAGGGTCTTGGGCTGGGTGGAGGGCAAAACTCTTATTAAAATGTTCCATTACTAGTCCTCTAAGATTTGGAAGTCATTATGGTTGATTAGTATGATTAATTTTGTAAGTCTAAAAAATTAAGTTTAGCTAATGTATGTATAAATAATTTTAAAAATTAGAATAATATTGAATTAAAGTAATTATGGTTAACAGAAGTTAAGAAGAAAACTGGTCCTAAAAAATTACCTCTGTGTTTCTCTCTGGACTCAAAACTCTACTCTTATGTGGTAGGCAGGGATTACTGAAGTGTTCCAGGATGATTTGGTCCCTAGACAACACTTTTTTTTTATCAAGAAAGAGGGATCCTAATTATTAATTGCCATTTGACTCTGGGTCAAGCCTCAACTTCCCACTCTATATGTTCAAGGAGCAAGAAAATGTTCTCTAAGCCCATTTTAGCTCAAAAATATTCTATCATTTATTTTAGTCTTTTGTACCTTAATGAAATATAAGACATTATCAAAGAATCATAATTGTTTTTCATTCATTCAGGTCGAGAATACCAAAATTAATTTTAATTGAGATATACGTGGAGGAGAAATATGTATAACTTTTGGCAAAATTTGTATATGTTTCTCATTCAAGTTAAGAAAAGAAAATTCATCTTTTAAGAAATTTACTGCTGCCATTCATCCCTGTGACCCATGTCACTATGGAGGTGAATTATCACACCATGGATAGCACTAAAAATCTGAGTTAACTCATGGTAACTCAGCATGCAACTTGGAGATAACCAACAGGCTGACTGTGGGTGGCTTCTGTGTCTTTGTCCCTTTCAGTTTCCTAACAGTTCTTGAGGTCTTAGCATGAATTTCAGTTGAGAAGTTCATGAGCAGTCTTTCATAGCAAAAATCAAATTTTTCCACCAGAAGCTTTATAGGAATGGCAGATTTTAGTAGGTTTCTTGGGTATTTTATTTGACTCATTTAAAGTTGATACTGGTAGCCCAAGGGTTGCATCCAGCCTGCAGGTATCATTTTTAGGTTTTTTTGTTTTGTTTTTTTTGTTTGTTTGTTGTTTTTTTTTTGTGTGTGTGTGTGTGTGTTTGTGACCTACATAGTGTTTCAAGAAGATACTGAATTAGAGGCCAATATTAAAAGAGCAGGAAATTCATGTATAAGATTTTACGATTCTTTGTTAGAAAACCCAATTGGCCCATATACTCTGAGACACCAATTGTAGGAGATGAGTCTCACATGTTCTTGAACATGGATGAGCATTTCTTACCTTTCTTGAGTTTAGACCTGGTCAACTTCCTTTAGTTAATTCCTGCCTGACTCCTGTAGCCTTTGAATTGCAGTTTTTTTCCCCTAACATGTTATTGCAGATATTCACCTAGCTTTGGGTTTTAATTTTTTTGCTCTAAGGATCTGATCATCTTAAAAAGTTGAAAAGCATGCCCTTCTCTTAATGAAAATGACCCTTGCTCAGGACCCCAAGGAGTCATGGGTTCAGGTGGAATTACTGTTGTTTAGTTCTGCTTTATGCACGTCTCATCTATTGGACACATGAAAACCATTATCCTAGTTTCTGGTTCAAATTGAATAGATTGTTCTAGAAAGTGAGAGACAAGTAGGAGTTAGATTACCAGCTGTATTCAGAGGATCAAAAGCAATTGACCATTACCTTTTTTCAAAACATAGAGGTTTTAATGAACATCTTTATGTCATTTGGGACTCTAATGGTCATTATTCCTGCCTTCTCAGTATTCTATCAAGAGATCACAGGCCGCTTTCATTTGCAAATGGTAGTCTCATGTTTGCTCCAGTATTCTATCTTCATCCTGTAGTTAACCTTCAAGTTTGGAAATAAACACCCTATTGGATTCTTAAATCACTTGAGATTTAGTTCATGGATGGTCTATTTCCCTTTAGGCCTGAAAAGAAGTGGAATTATTGTTATTTAATTTTTTTTTTGGTAGATGGCCAGAATATTTATTTATTCATTAATTTTTATTTATTTGTTTAATTTTATGTGGTGCTGCTGAGGATCCAACCCAGGCCTCACACGTGCTAGGCAAAGTGCTCTGCCACTGAGCTACCAGCCCCAGGAGTGGAATTTACCTATATTGACATGTGAAAGAGAAGAGATCTCCCTATAGTCACTGAAGATGGTGTCAATACTGGTCCATGCTCTTAGCTCCAAAGTGCCAAGGCTGAACCATGGGCACAGCTCTTAGGAGAGTGCTGCCTGGGCTTTCATCTTTGCTCAGTAGGTAATTTCATAACCAGGGTTTTGGGGTGGTGATCCTTAGCTCCACTTAGGTAGCCTCAAAACTATTATGAATGAGTTGTAGACTTTTACAGAAAGACTGGGAGAATTTATTCTCACCATTGCTTGACAACAGGGTAAAGAAGGCTATGTTTCCTTAAGAAGATATGGTCTGCATCCTGCAGGCCATCAGTGGAGTTTGCAATTAGAGGCTGAAGGATAGTAAAGAGTGCTAAACAGGGTTCCCACAGGCAGTTTTCAAAATAACAGTGTACACAGGAGAGAAGAGTATTCAAAATGCATCCTCAGATCTCACCTTGGAGATGATAATTAGGTCTGTGTTGGACATAAGGTTTTGCATTTTTGTGAGGACTTTGGCTCTTGGCCCAACAATCAGATGTTGCAAAACTAGTTCCAAAAGAAGCTGAGATATTTGTGCCCAAAGTCTCTTGACTGCTCTTAAAAATCTGTAGCTAAGGCCATCAAGAAGATGATGTTTGGAAAGAGAAATTAATGTGGAAGAATTCAAAAGCATTAAGCATAGTGGCTAAGAGCTTGGGTTCTCCAGTCAGACTGAATTTGGTTTAAATCCTTTCTTCACCATTTTAAAAATTAGGTGATTTAGTCAAGGTGTGCTTCCGTTAAGCATAAACGATCTCCTCTGTCCATCCTTTTGCTCTAAGGATCGGATCACCTTAAAAAGTTGAAAAGCATGCCCTTCTCTTAATGAAAATGACCCTTGCTCGTCCTCCCAAGGAGTCATGGTTGACTATCTGCAAAAACAGTCATAACTATTTTCTTCTCTCAATATACCCTGCTTTACATTATGACTTTGCCACCTGTCAAGAGGTAGAGTTCTCATCCTTTATATGTAGGCCAGATGTATGACTTGCTTTAGCCAAGGAGGATGGTGTGCCAGTCTGAGCTGAGGCATCAAGAAAACTTGCCTGTTCTTCTTGGTCTCTTGGGACCTTTGCCATGTGAACAAGCTTGGACCAC